CCCGCTGCCTTCGGTTTGGGCTGTTCTTGTAACTCCTCCCACCCCCCCAGGCGCCACCGCCACCCCCTTTGGGACCCCCTTAGACGCCCCGCTTCTTCATTGATTGTCGCCCCAAGTTCAGACTCCTTCCTGGGTAAAATGATGAAAGGAGGACACCAGCCCGTGAAAGGAATAGATGGAGGCGGAGTTGGCTTCTGGAAAACTTTGGTTCGGGGCGTCCTTAAGAGATCTGACGTGGAGAGGGTCGAGGAATGGTTGGGGACGGTGTAGGAGGCGATCGCCCTGGTTCGGAAATCATCCGCCAGGACCCTTCTTCACTCCTCGGCCCCACGAAAACATGCCTCCATATGCCGCCAACTCACATTTGGGCCTGAGGGTGCCTGGCGCACCCGGTGGGGCAGGGAAGTCCAGTCCATACCGCCTCTTCGCGGAGGCTGGAGGCGAGGCGACGTGGGTGGAGAGCCTGAGTTGCTGCTACACCTCCCCCCACCCCCATCCACCCCCACGTGAGCCTCGCGGGCCCCAAAGGCCCAATCTGCCATGTGGTGGATCAGCCCGCCAATATGAGGGCCCCTCCCCCCAGTCCAGCACCTGGCCAGGTGGGAGGGTGGGCCCCAAAGTCCTGGGTTTGTAGTCATGTTTCCCCCCTGAGGCCTGCGACAGGTGAAGTAGGAGGGAGGAAGGTGGCCGGAGGGAGCTGGAGGAGTTCGGGGATGCCACAGGGGGCAGTGCCTCTGGCAACTTCTTTCAAAGTTGGTATGGGGTGGCCTTGGCATTCGGAGGGGGTGCCTAGAGTGTAGGACTGGTGGAGAGTGGAGTCCAAAGGCAGAGGGGGGGAGGGGTGCATCTTCTGGGTCAGGGGGCCACGTGCAGAATTCCCTTAAGGCTGTGGTTGCTCTTGGTGGCTTGAGTCTGTGTGTCTTCATCTGGCCCAGATCCTGCCCTGAGTTTAGGAAGCTGCCCCCAGGCTCCCTGGTGTCCTGTTCAGAGTGTCAGGCCAACTTTGGGGTCACTCGGAGGAAACCCGGAAGACCCTTCCTCATTCCGTACTCTCCTCTGAGGAGTCTGCCTAATCCCATATGCCTTGAGCTCCTGTTTCCTGGAACTTCTAGATGCCTGGCTTCTGGAATGGAGTGAAGTACAGAAAGAGCAGGACTCTCCCCGACCCCAGGGCCTCCTAGAGTTTAGGGGAGGCAGCACCCACAGAGGCCTGGTGTGTGCATGTATGTGTGTGGCATGTGAACACTCATGTACTTTACCCTGCACCTTTGATCCAACTGGCTTCTTGGCCTGCATGCCAAGGCCCTGGTGGGCCTGGCAAGAACTGAATCCAGGTCTTTACTGCTCTGCCTGCTGGGGTGGGACAAAGTCCAGAGACTGGGCTAGGGCCTGGGGAGGGGTTACAGCTGGAAGGTGGGTTAGAGAACCAGGGAGGAGAGGAGGGGGCAGGAGAGACACAGGTGGGCCTACATTGGCCCTGTGAGGAATGCCTGTAGGTTGTGGTGGCTGTTTGTAGTGAGGGCAATGCCTGGGGCTGGGGATGCCGTCCATTTCATCTCTTCCCACTGGCCTCCAGGGCAGAGGGTGGGCCCCCCGGAGGCAGAGCCTCTTCCTTTGTTGATGCCTGGGCCTCTTAGATAAAGTTAGGGCTGGGGAGGAAGACCAGACCAGGGTCCCAGAGCTGGGACTCCACCCTTTGCCTGTGCTCGGGCTCTTTGGGCGGGGGCGGGGGTGGGGTGGGGTGGAGTAGGGGCACTACACCCAAGTTATTTCTGACATGCATCCCCCTTAAACACCAAAAAACCCCCCAAAACACCCCAAAAATAAAAAAACAGACAAATTGGTCTCCTCCCCATCCCCTGGATATGATCCTAGTCCCTAGAGGGGCCCGGCCCCTCCTGAGATGAAGAGCAGGGGACCACCCCTCTGCTGTGGTGAAGGCCACTGTGGACCCTCCTTCCCGCTTCTGGGCAGCGTGGCTGATCCTGGGTGAGGCTAGAACAGCCCGGTCTGGGAGAGTCAGCCCGAGGGCCACGTGCTGGGCCCCACCTGGAAGGATGGTGTGACTCCATCTTGACCTTCTCCTCCCGCTTCCTCCTGCCTGACCTCTTGGGGGATCTCCAAGCTCTGAACAGTTAACCACCAGGACTCAGGCATTTGCCCCCCCCCCCTTCCCCCCAGGTTCCTTCCTCCTTTCTCCCTGTCCCTGGGTCTGACAACCTAACCTGAGCGGCCCCAGGGCCTCACTCCTCTTTCCTCCCGCCGCCCCGCCCCCACGCCCAGCACACTACCTTCTCTTTTCTGCCTCTTGGGTTTGCCACACTTTCCCGGCCCCAACTGTCTCCTGCCCCAGATTTTCCGGTTCCTGGGTCAGGTGGGGCCTGGGCCCTGGGTGTGGTGGTTAGAGCCCTGGCTGGCAGGGACGGTGGGCTGGGCCTTCCCTGCGGCCTTCCTCTGAACTGCTCAGGCCACCCTGGGCCTGGGTTTGGTCTGAGGCTGGGGGTGAGGTGTTCAGGCCTCTCCCGCTCTCCTCACCTGGGGATTCCCCATCCCTCTTCATACTTCAGGGTGCCCATGGGCTCTGGGAGGACAGGATTTCCTATGCGTGGGCCTGGCCCGAGAGGAAAAAGTAACTTGCCTGGATTCTGGGAGGGCAGAGAGGTAGCAGACCCCGCTCCCCTGCTGGGCCAGTGGAGGGGCTGCAGTGGGTCTCCAGCGCCCATCTGGCCCCACCCCGACCCACTTAGCCTTGACTCACGTGTTGAGTCACAGCCGGGATATAAAGGCACCGCCTGGGAGACGTAGGTCTGTATTGGGGGCACAGGCATCCTCAGAGACCTCGTGTCATCTTCCAGATGCTTATAGTGGAGGGCCCACGATAGAAGGGATTTCTCTGGGCGGTGGGGGGAGGTAGAAACTCCATTTAGTGAAAAGAATGTACCTCCTGGCCCCTTCCCCACAGGTGTCCACACACAAAGTGAGGCCGGGGGATGGGGTGACCCTTTAGGCCTCAACCTGTGAGTCGCGACCCCTTTTGGGGGTCGAACGACCCTTTCACAGGGGTCGCCTAAATACATCCTGCATATCAGATATTTACATTACGGTTCATAACAGCAAAATTACAATTATGAAGTAGCAACGAAAATAATTTTATGGCTGGGGGTCACCACAACATGAGGAACTGTATTGAAGGGTCGCGGCCTTAGGAAGGTTGAGAACCACTGCTTTAGGGGTAGCTGCCCATCTGCGCGGGCCCTGGTCTCTGTTCTCCTCTAGACCCACCTTTTATTCGGCTCCAGGCCAGCAGGGAGGGTCTGTCGGTGTGTCTCATTGTCTATTTTTAATTCCTAGCCGTTCTTTTCTTTCCCTCCCACCCTGAGGTTGGGCAGCCGTGGCCTCCTGGGCCCTGTCACACCTTATCTCCAAGTCTGCTTCCCCGGGAAAAGAGCCCCGCGGTCTGGGGAGCTGCTCGGCTGTGGCTGTGCGGGAGACAGCTTCACTGGCCCCACGCCCTCTCCCAGCCTCAGTTTCTCTCCTTTCATCACGCATTTTCCGGGCGCATGCTCATGCGCGGCTCCCGCGTGGCACTGGGCACAGAGCTCGGAGTTCGCTGCGGTGCTCTCAGCTGGGACCCTCAGACCCCACCCCTCCCCGGGAAGCCGCTTAGGGAAGGGGCTATTGTTGCTATTATAGTGCCGGTCTCCCGGGATCCCTAAGCCCCGGAGGCTCTCAGTTTGTGGTGTGTTTTTTTGTTTGTTTGCCTTTTACTTCTCCCTCCGAGAAGAGGGCGGGGAGCTAGCTGGTAACTGGACCCAGGTGTCCTGGCTGAGGACGGGCCCCTCTGCCTCCACCCCCACCCCGAGGTCCTCGCTCCCCGAGAGGCCCGGGCTGGAGCTTAGAGCACTGCCCTGCGCCCGGGCGCCGGGCTCCAGGCTCCAGGCTTGTGGGTGGGGTGTGTGTCAGCGTCCCCTCCTCCCCGATCCGGAGAGAGGGCCTGGGGGAGGGGTGGTCACATTCCTGGTTGCTGAGTGGCCCCGGGGGGCGGGGTTGGGTTGTCATGGCGATGGAGGTCGTGTGTGTTTTTTTGGGGGGGGGGGCAGGGTGCCTTTCCACCTCCCGCATTCGCACCTCAGCGTCTGCTGGTCACGGGGAGGCCCCGTCGGTGCCCGACCTTCCTGGGGGGAGGGGCTGGACCTCTGTCCCCAGAGGCCACGGGGCAAGTGGAGGAGGTGCCCAGGGGCTGGAAGGCTCCATGTCTGGAGCAAGATGCCCCTCCGATTCGCGCCCAGGGCCCACCCTCTCTCCTGGGTCTATTTTAGCACCTTTCCAACCTCCCAGCTTCCTGTCTCCCGGGCCCTCAGGTGCTCTGTTCCCGTCTGGATGCGTGAATCACTGCCTGTCCGTCTCTTTCCTATCTGCGCCTGGGGCCCCGGGCAACATGGCCACCTGGCCTCGGTCCGAGGGAAGCCCGGTAGCTGGAGCTGCTGCAAGTGCTGCTGGGAGTTGTAGTTTCTCCTCCGTTGAGCGGGGCCTGGGCGTCCAGGGCCTGATCTCAGAGGCCGGCTGGGCCACTACCCTCTGCGTTTCCCGGACCTCGGACCCCTGCACGTTCACACCGGCCTGCAGCGCCCAGGGCAGGCCGAGCTCTTCCCAAGCCCTGGCCCTCACTCACTTGCCCTGTTATTTGGGCAAATAACTTTTCAAAGTGTTTTCCTAGAGCCTGTTGTGGTTACTACTGGGGGTCGGGGCGGTGTCGGGGAATAGGCAGCCATGGCCTCACCCCTCCACTGGAACCAGAGCCGTGTGCTTTTCTCTGTCTCAGAGGTTCATTCGGCAGCCTTCGCTGTGCACCTCCTGTGTGCTCGGCACTGCGGGCGTACAGACAGGCCTCCCTGATCTCGGGCATGCGTGGTCCTCGTAGACATTCATTAGATGATAACGTGAACGGCTGAAATCGGGATCGTGAGGGTGCCCTGAAGGAGAGGTGCTGAGAGTTGTATCTGGGGAGCTGACCGGGTTGGGGGAGTCTCTGGAGGAAGTGGTGACAGGGCTGATGTTGGAAGGCGGTCAGGCCTTGGTGAGTACAGGAGGCTGAAGGACAGCCTGACTGGTTACGCTCCTTTCGCTCTCACCACCCTTTGGCTTAAGCACTATGGCTATCTCCATTTTAAAGACGAGGAAACCGAGGCAGAGAGGCGCCATAAGTTGCCCAGCATCGTACACATATTGGTGGCAGCAGTGGGACCTGCCATCATGAGAAGAGGTGACAGATTGATGAAAAGCCATGGAAAGGTTTCCAGCAGGGGGAGGAGATGTTCACTGGGGTCCAGCACTTCCAAAGGCCACGCCGGCTGCCGTGGGGAGGGTGGGTGGTGGGGGGGCAAGAATGGAGACTGAAAGGACGTGGATGCTGTGGTTTTAGGCCAGGCAAGAGGAGACCGTGGTTGGCCCAGGGTGATAGCAAAGATGTGGAGCGTATAGATAGGGTCTGGGCATTGGGGGCAGAGTGGATGCTGTGTGATTTGTGAAGGAGTGGGGGTGACTTAACTCCGGGGTTTCTGATGAGCCGTCATGTCTAGCTTTGTTTGAAAAGTTCCCCCGCTAAGGGTCATTCCACAGCCCCTTGATGACCTCCTGGGTCCCTCTCAGTCCAATGCTGATGTGCCTTAGAGGTCAGCCCCCACCCCAAACCTGCAGCTCAGACCTCCCGCTCAACTCGCTTCTCTTCTTGCTCACAGATTGACGAGATGCCTGAGACTGCGGTGAAGTCAGCGGCCAACAAATACCAAGTCTTTTTTTTCGGGACCCACGAGACGTGAGTGAGGGGCTGCGGTGGGGAGGGCCACAGGCAGACGGCTTTGGGGAACGGGTGGTTATGGCGCCCCTCCCCTGTGGGGTTGCCCAGCTCCGAGGCAGCGAGGGGCTCGAGAGCACAGTCTCCCATCTCTCACCAGGGCATTTCTGGGCCCCAAAGACCTCTTCCCTTACGAGGAGTCCAAGGAGAAGTTTGGCAAGCCCAACAAGAGGAAAGGGTTCAGCGAGGGGCTGTGGGAGATCGAGAACAACCCTACGGTCAAGGCTTCTGGCTACCAGGTGAGCTGCCAACGGCCCCGTAGACCCCCTGGAGAGCAGGTGTGGCCACAGGCTCTGGACACCCCCGGGCCCAAACAGGATGCTTAGTCTTCAGGAATGGGCCTCAGGAGAACCAGGGCTCTCACAGTAGTAGCTCAGAGGGCAGAGGGGCGGGGGGCGGGGGAGGCTTCTGGCAAGAGGGTATGGGGTGCTGGTGTGTGGTGTAGCTGTGAGACCTGGGGGGGCGGGGCAAGAACAGGATGGAGGCGGTAAGTGGGGAGGCCTCTCTTGGGCCCGGGGTGAGTGTAGCACTTGGCCTTAACGCTTTCACAAAGGCTTCCTGGAGGATGGTTGGCGGGGAAAGGGTCCCAGCTCCCTTTGGGAGAAGTTGACCCGAGGTTTTGCCTCCTGCTCCAGCCCTCCCCCCTCCTGCACAGAGCCCTGCCTGCCCGGCCAGTGGGTTTACCCCGGGGCTAATCCGACAGAGGTGGGTCTCAAATCACTTGTGAGACTGGGCACCTGGGTGGGGGTGGGGGAGAGGTGGGAAAAGGAAGGAGCGAGTGGCTGAGGGAGGGGTCTGGGGAGGGGGCCTGGCCTGGCAGCCACTGGTGCCACTCAGCCTCTGCTGTCACTGCCACAGTCCTCCCAGAAAAAGAGCTGCGTGGAGGAGCCGGAGCCGGAGCCGGAGCCGGAGGCCGCAGAGGGCGACGGTGACAAGAAGGGGAACACCGAAGGTAGCAGTGATGAGGAAGGGAAGCTGGTCATCGACGAGCCCACCAAGGAGAAGAATGAGAAGGGGGCGCTGAAAAGGAGAGCAGGGGACCTGCTGGAGGTAACTGGCCTCCCTGGGGCCCCGGGGCTGGAGTCCCAGTCTGAGAGAGGCCTGGCCCGGCGTCTGAGGGAATCCCTTGCTGAGAAGCAGAGGGCTGGACAGGGACTGGCCTATCCAGGAAGGAGCCTCCGGAGAAAGGAGGGGAGACCCAGGCCGGTGGCTGCCACCTCCCTCTCTAGCCTCAGCCCACCTCATCCATCTCTCCCCATCCCCCCTAGGACTCCCCGAAGCGTCCCAAAGAGGCGGAAGACCCTGAAGGGGAGGAGAAGGAGGTGGCCAACTTGGAGGGTGAGCGGCCCTTCCCTGTGGAGGTAGAGAAGAACAGCACCCCCTCGGAGCCCAGCTCTGGCCGGGAGCCTCCTCCAGAGGAAGAGGAGGAAGAGGCCGCCAAGGAAGATGCTGAGGCCCCAGGCATCAGAGATCATGAGAGGTGAGTGAGCCCTGGCCTGGGAGGGCCTGGCCACCCGCCTCTCGGGAGGCTGGTGGACTTGGCCAGGAGATGGCACTGGCTGGGGCGAGGGCAGGCCAAGGCCTCATCGCTAACCCTTCTCCCCTCTAACCCTCCTTCACAGCCTGTAGCCACCAATGTTTCAAGAGGAGCCCCTGCCCCGTTCCTGCTGCTGTCTGGGTGCTACTGGGGAAACTGGCCATGGCCTGCAAACTGGGAACCCCTCCCCACCCCACCTGCTCTCTGCCACTCACTCTCCCTCCCCAGGCCCGGTCCCCGGAGAGCGACCTGGATGTGGCATGCCATCTGGCCCTGCCTCCACGCCGCCTCCATGCCCCCACACCGCTGGGATCTGAGTCAGGGCTACGTCTTCTGCTCCATGGGCTGAGATGAGGCCATTATGTCCCCCCAGGCCTGGATCTGGGTCCCAGGGTTTCTGGACCAGCTGTTTTCATCTCCTTATACCCTTTTGCCCCTCCCCCAGGCATTCTGGGTCTCTGGGTTGGTTTGGGTCAGAGTTAGGAGTAAAAAGGATGGAGGGTAAATGGCAAGGGTGGGCTTCTGGGCCCCGAGAGGGACAGTCCTCAGATCGGGGTGGCGAGTGGGCAGGAGGACGGCATCTTCTTGAGCTCCTGTCCCTTCCTCCAACACCTGTTATCTCAGCTGCCTAGATTCAGGGAAAGTGGGACAGCTCGCAGGGGAGGGCCTCCCTCGATGATGGATAACACCCATTTTTCCCTTTGCTGATCACCCCAGGAGTTCTGGGAGTTGTAGTTACTCATCAAAAGATTTTGGGCTTCCAGTTGTTTGGTCCATGGACTTGGGATCTGAAGGGCCAACTTCGCTCAGCTTCGGTGGGAGTGTTGAGGAGTAGCTTCTCCTTTTAGATCTTGGGCCAGAGATGTGATGGCCTGGGGAGACCCCTCACTGCCCTTCCCCTCTCCCCACAGTGCTCAAGGCCAGCCTGCAGTCACAGGTCACCCAGACATAAAGGAGAAGACACATTTTTTAGGAAATGTTTTTAATAAAAGAAAATTAAAAAAAAAAATTTAAAGACCCCTATCCCTCTGTGTGGCCCCCACTTTGCTCCTTTCTTCCTCGCTGTTGCCCTCGTTTCTGAGGTGCACTGGGAGGCTCCCCTTCCGCTAGGGCTTGGTGACGCTCCTTCTGTAGCTGGGACTTTGGTGTCCCTCCTGGTGTCATTCCCCACCCACCCGGCTCCCTCCGTGTTTCACCAGATCCGATTGTACCCGCTGAGAGGCAGGGAAGTGAGTGCCCCTCCCAGCCTCTTTCTCGGGGTCTCTCTGCCTCTTCCATCTCGTGCCCCTCTCCCTCTCCCTAGGGCTCTGATGAAAAATTGCTGACTATAGTTTAGCTCTGAGAACCGTAGACAATTTCAGTTCTAGGAAAATAAACCTGTTGATTACTACACTGGATTCTGACTGATTTTTTTGGGGGGTCTATTGAGAGGGAGAGGGGAAGGGGAATACAAATGATTTCCAAATTAACTTTCAGACTGAGGTAGGGGGTATCGGCCTTTCCTTCATTCGCAGGCTGTTCAAAATATCCAAAGTTCTGCATGAAGGGAAAGTCACAGAATACACTATTTCGTTTTACTTCTCTGGCCCAGTCACTGTTTAACACAGGTTTCTCCATAAGCACCTGAAAAGGTAAAAAAAAAAAAAAAAGTGCACACGAGGGAGGTGTCAGTGTCGATACCAGGCACAGCCCACACGGCCATGGAAGTGGGGCATCTGGGTTGGTTGTGGAAGTAACTGACACCCAAGAGCTCAGTAAACGGGCATCTTTCACTGGTGATCAGAGGCGAGGGGGTTGGTAGGTGGAATCTTCCCAGGTGGATGAGATCATCGATCATATGCGGGTCCTGGCGGATTTGACATTTCGTGACCAGATCATTGGCTGACGGTGTTTTAATCTGCCTCGGCCGCCTCCGGCAGAGAAGGGCGTGTGGGAAGAGTATTATCCGTAGCCTTGCCTGGAAAGGGTGGCTCTCTGCTTTAACCTGGAAGCCACAATCATGTAGAAAATGGAGCCATCGTCGCAACTACAATTCCCAGCAGCCCACACAGCTTGTTCAGGACTGTGCCCGGTGCGGCAGCCTATCGCGCTTGGCCTCCAACGCCCGTGTTGCTTCACGGTGAGCTTACGCTTCCTTGATTTCCTACCCGACCCCATTTCCTGTTTCAGCTTGCTTCGTAGCGGCGGACTACAACTCCCAGCATGCAGAGAGGCTAGATTGAGTGAGCTTCCGCTCTACGGTAAGACTACATTTCCCAGAAAGCCGAGGGACGGGGAAGGACAGGACTTGGGGCCCACATGCAAGAGGTAACGGGCGGAAGGGCCACGGGGCAACGGGTAGTGGAGGTGAGGCCCGCTCAGCTTGGGGATGTTGACAACCTCAGGCTCGTGGGGGAGATGGGTGCGGTAAAGGCCTTCCTTTTCCCGGGCTGTTGCTCAGTGGTATCGCCTGGATTTGCCCTGCACCGGAAGCTTGGAGCGGGTGGGTGCTGCCCGCTGCTGGGACATGCCCGCACCTGGGATGGGGCTGGCGGGAAAGCCTTTGGAGCGGGGGCCGGAAGGGCAGACGCGCCACCAGGCACTGCCTTGCACGGCGCTTTACTGTGAAAGAGACACCAACCACTCCAGGGTATGGAGGGGGAAAATGGAAAGGATCCGGGGAGGAGCGGGGGGCTCGCTTTTGGGATCTCCTCCCAGAGCTTCAGATTTAGAGTGGCTGAGGTTAAAGGACTTCTTGCAGGAGTCGTGGGTCTCTGCCCGTCTAGCTGTGTGAGCTGGGACAGGCACACAGCTCTCGGGGCCTCGGTTTCCTGGTCTCACAGGGCAGTGTGAAGACCACATGCCAGCAAGAGTGAAGTTCCCAGCCTTGGTTCTCATAGTCGTGCTCACTAGACCGGTTGTTACTTCTGAATGGGAGCATTAAGACCCTCACGTTCAACTAACATTCAAAGTAACGTTAGGCCTTTTTCATATTGAGAAGTATAAAGAAATGTCTGTTTAGATAAACAGTTTTTTAAAACTACCCATGGTTAAGAAATGCAAACGTTGTGGCAAGGAACAGATGGAAAGTAACAGCCCTCCCAAACTGTTCCTCTCCCCCCAAACTGGAGTTAATTTCCTAATTCCTTCCGATAAATATTTATGCCTGTACCAGAATACATATATTTTTTTTAATTTACCCAAAAGGAATAATACTGCTTACATTATTCTTGAAGTATTACAGATAATTTGAATGACACCAACAAGCCTGTAAAGTTTCATGGCCGATGAAACAGGCTCAGAAGTTAAGGGGCCTTGGTCACAGAATAAGGTGAAGTAGGAACTAGAACCTAGAGACCATCTAACTCCCCGTCCAGGCATGTGTATGCCATTGCAGTGCACTTTATTTGTACTTGAGGCTGGGCTTCATTCTTAGCTCTACAACAAGGTTAATGCTGCCTCCTTTCTTACACGATACAGTACAGGAAAGCACTTAGATGGCACCTGGCAGATAGCAAATGCTCAATAAGCAGAAGCACTTACTTTTTTTTTTTTAATATATTTTATTGATTTTTTACAGAGAGGAAGGGAGAGAGATAGACAGTCAGAAACATCGATGAGAGAGAGACATCGATCAGCCGCCTCCTGCACATCCCCCAGTGGGGATGTGCCCGCAACCCAGGCACATGCCCCCGACTGTCTTCACTGAGCCAAACCGGTCTCGGCAGAAGCACTTACTTTTGCCGTCAGTTCTCCACCACCCTGTTGATTGAGTTCATCATAATCCTAGAGTCTGGCTCGGGGTCCTTTTCTTTTAGAAAAGAAGCTGTCTTAGGAGTGGTCTTTTCCTGACGGAAGATAGGAATTGGAAGTAATGTAGGAACATTTTAATAACAGTTTTACCTCTGTTCCCTGTTTGTTATACTTTATAACTGCCTGGGTTTTTTTGGCCTTATGCTAGTGTTTTGTTCCATTACCTGTTTTCTTCCTATCCTGCTGTTTGTGTATTTATTCAATAACTTTTTATTGAGTACCTACTATGTGCTACGCCCTACTGAGATCTGTTGAATTCAGGGATGAGCTAGATAATGTGATTCCTGGCCTCACTGAACTCTTTGGACTTTGGGGTCAGATATATGTGGGTTTGAATGCTGATTCTCCTGCATAGGAGCTTTACAGCCATGGGCAAGTCAGTTAACCTCTCTGGATCGATCTCCTCATCTGTAAAATGAAGGTGATATAACGTGGGGATTCAACAAGATGAGGCCCATTGAACAACAGAGTAAATACTTACAAAAAATCCCTTCCTTTGCTTCTTTGTCCCCTTGTTCCCACCTGTCTACCCCAGCGCTGACCAGGAAGGTTTCTGGGTCCTTCCCTGGCCCGGGGATTTCTCACAGCCGTCAGCCATGCGTCTCTCGGCTCTGTTGGCCTTGGCATCCAAGGTCACGTTGCCCCCCAACTACCGCTATGGGATGAGCCGCCCAGGTAGCTTGGCAGACAAAAGGAGGAACCCGCCAGGGACCCGGCGGCGCCCGGTGCCTGTGGAACCCATTTCTGAAGAAGACTGGCATCTCTTCTGTGGGGATAGGGTGAGAACCTCAGGTGGGGTAGTATGGTGGTGGGGCTCCTGGGGAAGGATCTTCCTCCCTGACCCTCATGTCTTGCCACAGGTGGAGATTCTAGAAGGCAAGGATGCCGGGAAGCAAGGCAAAGTGGTTCAAGTCATCCGGGAGCGAAACTGGGTGGTCCTGGAGGGGCTGAATACGGTAAGTGGGCCGTGGGGTGGTGGATGCTCAGGAGGCCTGTCCCATCCAGCTCTGTCAGGAAGAGCAGCACAGGGCCTGGCGCTAGCTGTGGGCACGGTGAGACCACTGAGCCATCCGTTCTTCAACATGGACCGATGCGCAGGGCTGCAGTAGGCAAGCTGCCTTCATTCCCTTTGGTTTCTGATAACCCCCTCTTTTGGACAGCATTTCCGCTACATTGGCAGGACCAAGGATTACCGAGGAACCATGATCCCTGCGAAGCACC